TAGATATATCTTCTCATTTACTTACCTTTTCAAAATGTAATAGTGACCATTTCACAGAGATACTCTGCATTTTCCTCTTTTGTTGGATATGTATTTGGATCTGACACTGATACCTGGGTATATGCCCACAGATTTGACTGGAACAAACCATGACTTGGATGCCAGTGGTAAATTTCCCTTCAGTGGAAAGTGGGGATGCTCCTTGACCCACTTTATATGTGTTTTCTGCAACCTACATCATTATTAACTTTTTTTTCTTGCCAGCTGGTATTCAACTCTTGATATTCAAGAGATTATTGTCAACTCTGATTCTAGAAGAATAAACTTTTGAGTAAAGCATTAAACTACTCATTTAGGAATATGGATTTAGCTGGCTTTGGCTTTCATAATGATTCATAGATGATCCTCACAAAGATGAGCTGTTTAGTGCTTAGCCTTAATCTAAGACTACAAAAACTGTCTACTAGGTAGGGCCAAGGGTTTTTCTAGTCCAATTTGCTGCTAACTTGACATTACTTTGTCAAATACTTTTCTGTACGAAGTTGGCATTAAGGATACTTTAATATACCTTTGATAAGGCTCACAGATTATGTTAGTACACCCAGGATGCTACAACAAAATACCAGAGGCTAGGTACCTTTAACCAGGACTTCTAAATTTTTCTCTGTTTGTGATTCCTATTTGCCCAGGAAATTTCTATGCAACCCAAGGTATATAAATATATAAGCTATATAAACAATTGAAATATTGATAGATAAAAGCAAATTAAAAAATAGTTCTTTGGAGTACATATAGGGTTATCATTTGTTAAAGATTAATGCAAATTTGCACATTGATAAGATGGGTTTGCTTATCTATTTTTATGTAAAACTTGAACTTTAGCTGAACATTTGATACTTTAGGATGCAGACTTCAGTACTTTTCAGAGTTGATTGATACTGTCAATTTATAATTGTCCAAGCTGACACAGTTGTTTGCAAAGATATGTAATATAAAATGGCAGAAACATGTCTGGGCCATTTCAGAAATTATTGGAAATTCTGTCCCAATCCAAAGTTATTTGAATAATTTTAAAATAAAATGTAAGACATCAATTCACAGTAATTTATTTATTTTTATTTTACATATCGATCCCAGTTCCCTCTCCCTCCCTCCTTTTTTCCCTCTCCCCCCCCACATGCACTCCAACCACCCATCCTCTTCCCACCCACCCCACCACACTTTTATGAAGTAGCAAATCAGAAAGTAATTATCTGTGTTTTCTGATGGTCTTAGGAGACCCCCATGACAGGGTTTTTGAAGCCCGCAAAGGGCAAAGGGTGGCAGCATTGAGCATTGTTGTATTCTCGTGAGTGTCCTACTCTTGACTTGAAAAGTACACCTGTCACCATGAATGTGCCATATTTCCTTTGCTCACACTCAGAACTATACTGTCTTTTTGTTCTTACAAGGGCTTTGATGATCATGGGGGCCTCATTCTCATGGTGTCATCTAAACTTAATTATATCTCAGTGGTACCACCCACAAATGGCATTGCACTGGGACTTAGAGTTTCACTGCAGGCGTGAGTCTCTCTCTCTCTCTCTCTCTCTCTCTCTCTCTCTCTCTCTCTCTCTCTGTGTGTGTGTGTGTGTGTGTGTGTGTGTGTGTGTCGGGGCAGGGATCAGTAACAGATTAAAACTCTTTTCTATGAATATTTAATAACCCAATAGTTGGACAAATGCTGACTCCAAATACTATTTTCCTTTTCTTAATAATTTGTCTGAGTTGCTCTTATACATGGGTATTAAAATAATTAGCATTTTAAGAGGCAAGATGTTAGTAGTTGCCATTAATTATCTTTGATATATTTCCACAAACATGAATCCCCTTTAATGCTTATTTTTTATATATATATATATATGTTTACCCACATTTCTCAACTGTTTTGGTGAAGGAAAACAATATTAAGTCTCTCTTTCTCTGGTTTCTCATTATAGGAAGGAAAGAAGAAGAAGAAGAAGAAGAAGAAGAAGAAGAAGAAGAAGAAGAAGAAGAAGAAGAAGAAGAAACCAGGCTCCTGGTGCTTCTGGCAAGTTTGTTCTAACACAAGTTGCACCCAGATTGTAATTTTGATAAGTATTTCAGTTCTTTCTTGAAAAAAATTAAATTCACAAAACAATTGATTATCAGTTATAAATGGCAAAAACACCATCTGGTTTTTAAAATTGGTTAAATCCATGAAGCAAGGGGAAAATGTTGGAAGTTGTTCTTGGCGATGAGGTTCTAGTCCATGGAGCAGAAAATGACGCGCTTTACTATGAGAAAGCCAGGGTAGTCATAACTTGTACTTAGCGGCTGTGGGGATTTGATGCGTTCCTCGCATATTCCATATGTTAAATCGCTTGGCGACATCTTTGGTGTGAAAGAGCTGGGGTGGGGGGAGAGGAGTGTGGCTAGAAGATAGAGCAACAATCGCTTGCTTCATCCGGAGTTCTGGCTCCTATGCAGAAGGTGTATCAGGCCTCAGTTTCCACACCTGTTAAAAACGGGGGTGACAACTTCCTCAAGTCCTACATGGCAGGTAGCATTTCTGTGGCAGTCTCTAAATCTGTTTGCAGTCTTCCAGTGAGGTAAGTCACATAGCACTGGCATTTCCTATAGAAATGTCCCATGTTGTTCTTTGCCAACTGGAAATTTGAGTAGGTGTTCATTTGATGTGCCAAGAGAACGAAGGGAGATGAAAACACTCCACATCTTCCAATGTCCCCATACTGTGTTCCGAGTGTGGGAGGACTAGGGCCTGGCTAGATACTCTTGGAGCCTCAGCCTCATGAGGAATGCCTTTCCTTATGAATCTGCTGCGGTCCTGTTATTTTCAAAAACGTTTCTGGGTTGCTGGCATATTTTCACCTTATGTTAAAAATATAGCTCTCCTTTGCTTATTATTCATGCATTATGATGTGAAATTTATTCCTTCACTTAACACATATTTATTGAGGCACAGTGCAGCATAGTGGTTAGTTGTGAGGACTCTGTCTGCAGTTTGGAAAATGTGATTTTTTTTTTTTTTTAATGGCTGGTGTTTAGTTTTTCAAACTGTGTTGAATAAAAAAAAATAGGGGGAAACAATAGAATCTACTTTGAAGGTTGTTTCAATTAAGTAAGATTATGCACTAACATTCCTTGGTAAGGACTCAAGGGCACAAGAGTAGCAGAGGTCTAAAGAACGTTCTCCTGTGCCTGACTCTGTGCTAATTGAGGCTGATGTGTAGGATCTGACTTTGCAGTATCCACTCCATTGTCAGCATAGATAGCCTCTAATTTTTTCATTTCTGATTTTGGTAGATATCTGCTATGCATCAGGTCTGATCAAGGTAGTTCACTTCTGGCTATGATAAGAACACATAGTTTTTGCAGACTGGGCATTATCCTGTGGTGTTGGTTTTCTGCCTCATGTTCTATGATTTGCCCACTGGAGCGTTCTTCACTTCTGGTGGACTACCTGCAGTTCGTCGTGCATTGGGGCCTGTAATTACAGAACAGAAGATCCTGGGATGTGGAACAGGGCAGTTTCGAAAATTAGTTTATGCATAATGGATAATAGGAGGCTGCTTTAATGTGTAACTCATTTGATGGGTTGGCAGATGTTAACTCCCTTTTTGGTATATATATTTCTTAAAATTTATTTGCAACATGAGGGCAGAGGGCTTGGTACAGCTCTTCTACACTATAGTTCAGATTCAGCAATTTACATTCAGTAATCTCTTGGTCATTTAGCCACAGATAATTTGTCATGGTTTGTTTTAGCTGTTGTGATATTGATATTTATTATGCAAATTGTATTTCCTACATCTTATTGTTCTGCATTCTATGAATACTTAAATTATTATAAACCTTTACACTTAATACGGCTCGTCCTTCAATTTGATGCTTGAGCAACAGAGGGTCAGAGCGCATCCGGCCTTCAAGAGGAGAAGTAAATAAGTAATTAAAAGGCAGGCAAACAAGAGAGCAGGCTGCTTGGTTGAAAAGAAAGCAAAGATAATTTCGGGGAGGGAGAGTGTGTCCAGAGAGGCATACAAGTCGCTTCAGCAGAACCTCTCCGAGACACTTCTGAAGAGTACCTGTTGGTCTCTAGATGTCTTAAAAAGGACTGGAGGCATAGCAGAGAAAGGAACTGGTTTGAGCCCCGGAGAAGAACTCAGCTGACTCTCTTTGCCACACTTGGTTCCCCACATTCCCCTCTCCACAAACCTGAAGGGTAGATTTTGTGTACGTGTAATCTTAAATACATGTTGCTTATATACTAAAATCTACTGAGCATGGGAAGGGCATTTTCAACAACCTGGGGAGCCCGATCATCCCCACCCCCGATTTACCTTTCTCCAGAATCTACAGCCAAACATACTCTTGAAAATCCCAGAACCCGACTCCACGGCTTCAGTCTCCCTACTATCCCCTAGTCTACCGCTAGGATGTTGAGCGGTCTCTCCTGCTTCGCCAGACGAGCAAAGCACGCATGCACTTCTCCCAGATTGTTTTGTCAATCCGGGGACCTACATTCGCACTCTCCATTCCTCGGTTTTCCAAAGATCTCATTCCTTCATGCAAGGTGAAGGAAGGGAATTTGCAAAGTGTGACTTCCACAGGTCGCTGCACACGCAATGCCCGGGCCCCGGAGCCTCTCGGTGAGACTCTCGAGTCCGCCGAGGCAAAAGCCGTAAGCGTTCTTAATAAAGGTGCACAGAAGCTAGAGACCCGCCTCCTGGAGCCGCAGGCCCCCTCCCTCGCGCCCATTCCCGGCTCCAGGCAGTACACTTTTTCCTCCGCGGGGGAAGCTAAGCCGAATTTTAACGTAAACATATTTGCATAGGCCCCTCCCATCGGCCCCGCCCCTAGGTGGCGCGGGCGCGCGGCCGAACGCTAGCGCCAGGGGGCGGGGTGGGGGAGGGGGCTAGTCCTCCGAGAGCCGGGCTGGGCTCGTGGCGCCACGATTGGTCGGTCCTGACTCCGCCTTTAGCGCATCTAATTAGCATCTTATTAGCTATCCGCTCGGGCTCGGGAGGCAGCCACCGCCGCCAGTCTGAGGCAGGTGCCCGACATGGCGAGTGCTGTGCTGCCGAGCGGATCCCAGTGTGCGGCGGCAGCGGCTGTGGCGGCGGCGGCAGCGCCTCCCGGGCTCCGGCTCCGGCTTCTGCTGTTGCTCCTCTCGGCTGCGGCACTGATCCCCACAGGTAGGTTGTGGGCACCCGCGGATTGGTCCCTAAATACCCCCCCGGGCACCCCCAGGAGCCGTAGCTAGGGAAGGGGGGACGTTTCCATGACAACCTCCCCCCACTTCCTAAATCCGAAGCGGCGGGAGCGTGGCAAGGAAAGTCGGGGCTGAGATGGAAGGGGCTGAGGGGTCGGCGCCCCTTCCCTCCTGCCCGCCGGCTGCGGATGGGAGCCCTCAGGGATGGCTGCACCCACACCTCTTCCTGGCGTAGCGCGGGGTGCTGAGTGGAGTGGGCTTGGGGGCCAGGGGCTAGCGCGTGGGGGGAGGGAAGCCCTCTGAGGCGCCCCGAACCTTCCGGACCCTCCGAAACTCGCTCTTGTCCCTGGAACTTACAGGTCCTCCTGTGTCCCCAGGTTTAGCCTTCGTCCCCTCCGTTCCAGCTCGGCCCTGGGATCGATTCTCTGTTCCCCGAAGCTTCCTCCCCGCGGGTCCCTAGGACATCTTCACAGTCGTGTCCTCTCCCCCGCTTGCCCGCGCTCTGCAGGTCCCTCGCCCCAGAGCTGCACGCCTCTCATGTTTCCCTCCAGCCGAATGCAGCCCCTCGGCCCTCTCCGCTGGGCTGCGGGTCGGCTTGGCTGGGATCCAGGCAGGGAAAGTTCCCGGCTCGGGGGCGGCCGCTCGTTGCCGCGGCTGCAGAAGGGGCTCCTGGTTCCTTCAGCCGGTCCGCGCCACGAAGGCCTCTGCCGCGAGTGAGGATCCGGGATTTTCCGGCTGCGCGTTCGGGCAAGCGGCCCGCAGGTGGTGGCGGGGGCGTTCGCGGCCTCTGCGGCCAGGCGCTCGCCCTGCGGGCCTCGGGGCGCTCCCCGCGTGGCCGGCCGTCTTGAGAATCTGCCCGGGTGGCGGCTCTGCGAGCGCCGCGCCTTCCCTGAAGACGCCGAGCGCTTGGCAGGAGCTCCGCGTGTGGCTGCCCCTGTGCCGGGCGCGTTGGCGCGGTCGGGAAAGAAGAGGGCAGTGTTTGCATTTGCTAACAAAAGGGAGCCGGAGCTCTTCCCCATCGGAGAGGCCGGCCGCGCTGCGCCCGCCTTCCCGCCACCTCGCCACTCTCGCCAGCCGCGCGGCGTTCCCGTGCAGCTGTGCCGCCTGCCGCTGGCTCCCGGCGGCCAGCCGAACCGAGCGGCATCGGGTGGTGGCGAGCGGGCGGCTGTGCGCGAGGGGATGCGCTTGGGCTCTGAGCCTGTAAAACCCCTCCTTGTAGCTTCGAGCTGCAGGACCTGGGAGCAACAAGTGGCGGAGGACGCCGCGAGCTCAATCCCCACCTGCGGAGCCCCCAGCCCGGGAGAATGCATCCCTGGGGCCAGCGTGCGGTTCCGGGGGGCGCCTCTCTGCCTGGGTTGTGTCTTTTGTTTACACGCTAGAGGACACATAGTTATGTAAACACCGCAGGAGACACGCTGTTGGATTTGGGGATGCTTAGGAGTGCTAGCTTCAGATTTAGGGGATGCCAGCTTGGTTGATTTACTCCCCTCCCCTCAAAAAAAAAAAAAAAATGAAACAGGCTTGCGAAGGAGCTGGTCTTGGAGATCCCATTGAAGTCTAAGGGTGGGAGCCTGGCAACACCTTCCATTCCAGCTCGAGAATTTTGTCTTCCTTGCTAGGTCTGTCTCCTGATGTTTATATGTTTTTCTTCTGTGAATTCTTAATTTATGATTTACGCGATAATTAGGTTTAGCCGAAGCCCGTGTGGTTACAACTTAATTTCTGGTGATGCCACTGACTGGAAGGGTTCGATAGAGTGTTCCCGAAAGAGATCCCTCGTGCTGCATTGTAAAAAGCGCCACTGTCAGTTAAACGTGAGCGTGAGTAAAGGCTGGGTAGCTGGCGCATTACAGAGGCAACAATAGACTTGTATTGGCTGCGGAACGAAGGGTGGGGGTGGGCAGCGCTGGCCCCGGGATATTGCCTTTCGACTAAGAATGGGAGCCTTGCAATGCCACTAAACCTGCAGAGAAGGATTAGATTTTACCTCCCTTGTCAAGCCTACTCATTGAAGGCACTGGGTAGTAACAACAGTACTATATTTGTACTATCTCGGAGAGAAGTTGCCTTCCCCGCGAGGGATGTGTGCTGACTTAGAAAGGAACGATCTGGAACTCAACCGTGCATGTCAAAGCTACAGGAAAATTCTGTTGCCAGTTACCATGGAAGCAGCTTCTTGCTCTTGTGTACATCCCTGTTTGTACACCGCTTATCAGATTGTGTTCAAATTAGAAAGTAATTGGGTTTGATTTGTAGTGAGGGGGTGAGATGACTGTCTTTAATTTTTTAATACTGTGTGTGTGTGTGTGTGTGTGTGTGTGTGTGTGTGTGTGTGTGTACACTTTGAAAGATGGTCTTGGCCAAGCCCTACATTCCGTATTGCAGGGGTCAATTTCAGGTGGACACCGAAATACTTTTCCTCAGATGCTAAGTTAAAGCTTTCTCAGGGGCATCTGCTTCTCATCCCCCGGTTTAAAGAAACCTGTTGGTGCTGCCTAACTTCATTAGGCTTGTTTCATTCCCATCCTTGCCAAGAAAGCCAAGTCCTGCTGTTGTGTATTGGGGTTCTGATTCTGTTTGCCTCTGTAACTGAAGCCATTCTCCCTGCCACCCACCCTCACCCCCATCCCAGAGAAAAATCTACTCCCATCTCTCCTGTGGGTTTGGATGAAACAGACCTGTATGAAATGCAGCCAAAATAGGATTGCCTATACATGTGTTAATCACTCCTGTCATATTTAAGGTGCAAACATGCTGCTGTTTGGGATCCTGAAGAACCTGCAGTAGATCACCCCCACTCTTACCCTTTTCAGGATTAGAGACAATGGTTGATGGGTGGGGGATTTGTGGGGGTGGCAGTTCGTCCTGGTTTGCTCTAGGGTTGGGACTTTGTTGGAGCTCAGTTGGAGCTTGCATACCAGGGACAGGGACTTTGCAAAAGTGACGCCCTGCTATTGTTGCCTTTCCTTGCATCAACTTGAATAGTCACAGGGGGGACTTGCACTTGCCCGTGATAGCTTCGATAAAATATCCCTCATTAATGCCACTTTATATTTACAGTGTGTCACTGGAGACGCACAAGGCTTCATTTAGTGACTTGTGTGACGAGACAAGCTTGCATTATTTGCCCGGGACATTTTGGATGAACAAGAGACCCATTGAGCAATCTTTTGAAATGAACAAATACGAAAAAGGGGGGAATAAAAGAGCAGGCAGTTCTCCGGAACAAAGAGCTTTATTCATATGGATGTTGTACATGCTTTATCCAGTTTTCCCCAGTGGCTCTTCTGGTAAAGGGGAGTGGGACAGGGAAGGTGATAACAGGCTGGGCACTCTGGCTTCCTCTTTTACTTCCTGACTGGAGTTGGTTCCATACTCACTGCCTGCTTCTCAATCTCCACTCCCCCCCATCCCCTCATAACAGCCTCTCAGGTTTCAAAGGAGATTTTGAAATCTTTTCTGCCATAGTTGGCTCTCATCCGAAGAAACTGCTAGGTAGCTAGCTACCTGTTGACTGATCAACACTAGTCATCGTACTGGGTGAAGGGAAAGATATATATGCCTTTTCTGTGATATGTGTCAAGATAGTGAATGTCAGAATGGTAGGTAAGATGTCTTGCAATTATCATGTTAGCCTCATTGTGTTTATTTTAAGGGTGTTGTTAAAATGAAGATCCCGATTTTTAAAAATCAGTATTATTGGTGTTCTTGGATTTTATTTTTAAATTTTATCCCCTACCTGGTACATTTCAGCTTCAGTCATGATTTTTTCTTTCTTTTTAATTCTTCAGCCTTTCTTACTAAGTGATTTTATTTTCTTTAAAATTGATAGTACTACTATGAAGATCAGTGCTATGAGACTCATTCTTATTGGGTCTGTGGATGTGATATTTTAAAGCTAATTGGCCACATGGAATTTGTATTTAGTTTTTTAATGTTTTGATTGATTGTGTGTGTGTGTGTGTGTTTAACAAAAGGACCATTTTTATGTGAAGGTTTTTCTTAGAAGGGGCCAATCTAATTGATACTGTGGTTTGAATGGAAATTGACCACATACGAAGAAAATTTGTAAGAAAGAAATCCAAAGGATTAAAATGCTGTATATATTTCTTTGGAAGAATGCTACTGACCATTATGCTGGGCATTTTTGACAGAAAATCCAGCACAGAAAGGGGAAATCACACAGCGACATCTGTTGCAGAACTGAAAATTTGCTGCTTTGAGATGGAAGTGATTAGCCCCGTGTAACCACCTAATAGTATCAGAGTGTGTGCACTGAGGCAAATATGAACACAGACACATTTACATTTGCACACACATACACGTTATCAAGAAGCTCACATATTAAAGTACTAGAAAATAACATTGGAGTGCCCAAGTGCTTTACAAACTGCTATTCTCATGGTTGTAGAACTGTTGGAAAGGAAAGATAACAGCAATATTCATAGGAAGTAACCATTGTTTTCAGGTGAGGCTGCTGAAGCTTAGCTAAACTGAGGCCGAGGTATCTGCAGACCTTGGATGGGGACAGGTCCCTTGATGTTCAGCCAGTGAACCTTCTGTTCTTCCTTCTAGCAGGGATGAGCAGAGATAGGGATCATGGGAGGATACTATCTTGGCTAAAACTATTTTGTATTCTGAAGGCAGCCAGATTAATTGTTTGCTCTAGGTAATAAACCCATGGATCAGAAGGAGTGACCTCCGGGAAGAAAGGACCAGCTCTTGGTACCTTTACCTTTGGTGTTGACAAATGATTCTGCAACCTCTGGACTTTATTTGGCAGCTACTACGCGAATGTCGTCCAAAGTGCCTTCATATGGGAGACCGCCGGGTTGTGTTGTAATAAGTCACAGGCGAAAGCTAAGCTAAGGGAAGCTTATGTTTTCTTTTTAAGAATTTCATTTGTCTTTTCTGAAGTCTAGAACAAGAGCCTACCTTGGTTTTCTTTGCAGGTTCTCCTTTGTCATTTGCAGAGAAAAAGCT